GGACAAGTCTTCATCACCATATGAAACTATGTTTCTACAAACTGCTTACATGGGCATTTCCCTAACAATCTAAATGCCCATATATTGAATCTACACAAATGCCCATACTGTGCTAGCTAGGACACAAAGGGACTTTCCCTTTGTTCACACTTCCATCTGAAAACAATAAAAAAACATGGAGATTAAAAAAAAAAAAAAAACCCAGAAAGTTCTGCTTTGATACATGCCATGTCTTCCTATTTTTCTTAAAAAAAATCAACTTTCATTGCAATGATTTAAAAAGTATCAAGTGCTTCCTAAAAACTACCAATACAAACCTGTAGAACTGGGGAGTAGAGACTGATACAAACACAATGTCAAGTATGAAAATAATTTTGAGGTGATTACCAGAGAGCAAAACTCAAATTTATGCACAAGAAAATATTTTCCTCTTTTATTCTAAGCTCTGAAATATTACATTTAAATAACAGGATGATTATAACATAACACTTTTCTTAGCTATGAATAATCCACAAATAAAGGAGCGTAACTTTCTCTCACATTAAACTCACATTTTAAAAATGACTTTTCATGGAGCCCAAAACAACATTTGATGGCAAAGATTCTAAACAAATGCATTTAATCAATTAGTAACTACGAAGTTGAGTTACTAGCATAACAAACTCAAAAGCTAAGAGAAACCACAGCATCAAAACCAGAAACCAAAAGCTCTTTATTCACTGGAAAACCAATGGAGAACTAAAAACGATCCTCTCACAAGCTTTGTAAGAGTGAAGTTTTCCTCTTCACTATTATTTCAACCATACCTCTTAATGAAAATGAGAGTATTTACGAACAAGAAACTGAGAATATTCGAAACTCAGATTCTTACTTTTGATTTTCCTCTTCTTCTGATTCTTCATGCTGGTCAAATAACTCCCATTTAGAAGTTGTTACAGCTGAATGGAAGGAAAAAGAGGATGTAATTCCATAAGGTAAATTAACATTTTTGCAGAAGCACAGCAGAAGCCAAGCTTTAGAATTGAAAAGTTTATATTACAGAAGTTTTTATCTATGTTTATGAATAGCCATTTATATGTGCTAAATCCTTCTTTTTCCTCACACCAATATTATAATTTTATTCAAATTCATAAAGTGACAAATAATGTCATCCTTATTCCTGTGTTGGGATGGTTAAGATTTATTTCATTAGAACCTACAAATATTAACACCAGGATACAGGTCCAAGTTAAGTTTGAAAGGCAGGCCTAACCTGCATCTAATAAGTCTAGCATGATGGGAGGGTCAAAGCTTGGTTTCTCTGAAACTGACCTCTAAGTAGATTTCTAAGTAGGTACAGAGGTCCCATCTACATTTTCTACTAAAATGCTTTAACCCAAAAAGTTTTCAGTGATTTCTCTGATTACTCTCAAAGCTTCCAAACTGAAGGACCTAAGAAAATTATAACAGTAACACCAATCACAATAAAAACTAACTTTAGACATAAAATAACAGTGGGTTTTAATGTTGCATTAATAAAAGGAAAACACACACACACACAAACCTATCAATGATTAATTTACAAATACTTAATTTTTTTTTTTTTTTTCAAATACTTAATTTTTTGAGGCTCAATAGTTCTTGTACTTTTACTCACCCTGTGCTTCCAATTCAGATTCATCTACAGCTTCCCATTTTGATGGGGCTACTTTAAATATAGGCTCATTCTTCTTCGAGTCTTCAGTTGCATCCACTATTGGGGGAAAAGGAGCCATTAACCCTAACTAGTAGGTGATAACTCAAATTAATGGGCTCATGAGTATTCCACCCAAATTAATGAGTTCATTAGTATTCACTGTATTATTAAAAAAGCAAAGCAAAATAAAGCTACACATTGACGAATAATGACAGTATTAAGAACAAGGATTATAATGTGACCAGAAAAAAAGCCCTTTCTTGGCCCAAATGTATTACTGAGCATTTAAATTTTTTAAACTCAGAAATAAAAAAAAGTTAATAACACCTTAATGAAAAAGTATAACCTTTTTCTTTATATGGAAATTAAAGCATTTTGGTAATCAAACTTATTAGCAAGATTTAATCAGTTTGACATTTGAAATACGAACTTACAAGGCACACCATCAAGATCATCATCAAGACTTTTTATAGGGACTCCATCGAGATCATCAATGGGAGTAGCATCAATAGGAATTCCATCCACATCTTCCAGAGGTGCACCATCAAGCTCTTCCTCAATAGGGGCACCATCGAGGTCATCAGGTACATCCTATGGAAATGTATCCTGTTGTAACATTTTCCTGTTTCCTAAACCCATTATTACCATTACATTAACATGCAATCCAGCACAAGCCCACTTAGCTGGATATCCACATTCTGAGGTACAACGTAAGGACGTAATAAGAATATACTTTATCATTAACTCAGCCTAAGAAGCAGTCATTCACCCATTTATCTGGTATTTCCCAAATGCTTCTTAGTTCCAGGTATCACATGATGCAATGATGAGCAAAAACAGATTTGGTTCCCCTGTCACAAAGCCTGGTATAGGCTGTTATTATTCTTTGGGGGTGGAATGTCAGGAAATCAAATAATCACAATAATATACACATAACTGCAGCTATGATGAACTGTTAAAACAAAGAGATACACTATTAAAACGTATAATAACTCTTACTTAAAGAGGTCAGAGAAGGCTCTCTGAAGTTACCCTTATGCTAAGATCTGAATTATCTCGGGGAAAAGTTCCAGAAAAAAAGAACATGGATAAAGACCAACATTAGGTAGAAACATACATTTAAGAAATTGTAACAAGGACCAGATGGGTTGGAGCAGTTATGCCAATTAGGAGGACCATGTATGAGTGTAAGGGAAAATATGACAGCCTGATGATGGTGGTAGAAATGAAAGTGAAGGATTCAATAATTACCTAGTATATAAAAAGAAACAGAATGGTGATGAACAGCACCTGCTACCACAGAGCTCCATCTTTTCATGTACATATCTATTGACACAGCTATCTTTAATAAAATGAAATCACATTATACCACATTACTTGTTTCTACTAATGCACCATAAATCTTCTCAAATAAAAAATCACCCACCAACTTTCATTGAGGACACAACACAGAATTCCTGTTACATGTAATTTTTGTCTCATGGGCTCCAACAGTAAAAATCTGGTACACAGTAGATATTTTTCACAAAGAAATATTACTCAAATATGTAGCACATCACACCTCTATAGCACCCTCTGCCCCAAAAACAAATTTTAAAAATAATCACACAAATACACTGAGTGCCTACCTCTGTTTCCTTTTCTTCAATAATATTTACAAGTCCTAAGAAAATATTCTGTAGTTTGATCAAAAATGGTTCTGGATAAATTGCCCAATCTTCCCATGCTCTGAAGCAGGTCATTACCCGTTGCTAGATAAACAGAAAACAGAAAATGAATTATTATTCTGGGCTGTAAATCTCAAACTCCAATACATGAGAATGACCATCAACATTTGCTAAATTTTTGGTTGAAGTGACGTTCTTTAAAAACTTTAAAGAAAATAACTATGGGGCGGTGCCTGTGGCTCAGTGAGTAGGGCGCCAATCACATATACCAAGGGTGGTGGATTTGAACTCGGCCTGGCCAAACTGCAACAAAAAGAATAGCCAGGAGGGTGCTGTGAGCTGTGACACCACAGCACTCTGCCAAGGGCAACAAGGTGAGACTCTGTCTCTAAAAAAAGAAAGAAAATAACTATGTATTACTATTTTTTAAATTTTTTTATGACTTTTAAAAAAAACAATGTCATCTTCTAATTAAAAAGAAAAAAGTAATAACCTTGAAAATAAAGTGTAAAAGAAACTAACTTTTTCTTTACCATCTAAGGTCAACTTCCACACTGCTAGTATTACAGTTGAGCCACGTTCTGGGAAAACACCTGTTGAAACTTACCAAAACTGAAAATCAAACTAACCAAATTTTCAACTGAATCCTCCATCGTCCAATGAAGTATTTCATAATTCTGGCTAACATTTTTCTCTGTTCTTAAATTTTTCTATAAGTGCTAACTTACTGTCAAATTCAAGGTCAAAAGCTTTAAAAATAAAATGGGAGTTGTCTGAATCCCCCAAATGGTGGGGTCACTGGGCATTTTTTTTTTTTGGAGAGAGTCTCATTTTATCACCCTCAGTAGAGTGCTATGGCATCACAGCTCACAGCAACCTCCATTTCCTGGGCTTAGGCGATTCTCTTGCCTCAGCCTTCTGAGTAGCTGGGACTACAGGCATCTGCCAGAACGCCCGGCTATTTTTTTGTTGTTGCAGTTTGGTCAGAGCTGGGTTAGAACCCTCCACCCTCGGTATATGGAGGTAGTGCCCTACACACTGAGCCACAGGCACCATCTGGGTCACTGGGCATTTTCTTAAGCTAGAAAGTTTTATGTTCTCACTTATAAGTGGGAGCTAAGCTATGACTATACATGGTCAAACTGGTATAATAGACGCTAGAGACTCACAAGAAAGGAAGGTGAGAGGAATAAAAAATTACATACCGGGTACAAAATACACTAATTTGAGTTATGGGCACACCAAGACTTTTAAGCCTAGACTCTATCACTACACAATGGATGCACCTAATAAAATTCAATCTGTACTCCCTAAATCTATTAAAATTCATTTTAAACATGTTTCTCATTAAAATAAATTCTCATTCAATTCTAAGGTTCTCTTTTATTTTTTTAAGGGACAGCGTCTTGCTCTGTTGCTCTGCAACCCAGGCTGGAATACAGTGACATAATCCAAGTTCACTAACTCCTAGGCTCAAGGAACTCTGGAGTCCAAGCAATCCCCCCACCTCAGTCTCCCAAGTAACTAGGATTATAGGAGCATGCCACCATGTCCAGCTAATTTTTTAACTTTTTTTAAAGATAGGGACTCACTATATTGCCCAGGCTGGTCTGGAACTCCTGGTATCAAGAAATCCTCCTGCCTCAGCCTCTCACACTGCTGCCACACAGGCATGAGCCACTGTACCCAGCCTGTTAGGCTTTTCTTAACATTGGTCTGTAACTTCAGAGGTTATAAAAATGTAATAAGTGAATATACTTTCTAAACATGGCTAACTAAAATTTATGTTTCTTACTCTAGCCAAATATAATAATACCATTACAAAACAAGTGATTTTCCAAATACGTTTTGTGGAAAACAAAAAAGACTAGAATTTTTTTTTTTCTTTTTTCAGACCAGGTCTTGCTCTGTTACTCAGGCCAGAGTACAAGGAAGTCATCTTAGTTCACTGCAACTTCAAACTCCTGGACTCAAGCAATCCCGCCTTAGCTTCCTAAGTAGTTAGGATTACACATGTACACTACCATGCACAGTTTAATTTTCTATTTTTTTTTTTTTTTTGGAGGGGTGTAGAGATAGGGCCTCACTATGTTGGCCAGGGTGGTCTCAAACTCCAGCCATCCTCCAGCCTTAGCCTCCCAAAGTACTAAGATGATAGGAAAGAGCCACCATAGTTGACCTAAAATTTATAAATAACACTTAAAACTAAAATTAAGCACCTGACAAAATAACACTAGTTAACATATTTTAAAATTTCAGAAATTCTTTGATAATGACAATTAAAATGGCAGAATTTTAAAACTAATTTCTAAACCACCTAAGTTTTTAATTTATGTCTTATCTTACATACTTTTCTAGCCCTCCTAAAGCCCTTCCACCCCTTTCAAGGACTAGGGCAAAAATAGTAAAACAATATACGTACCTTAAAGTTTTCAGATTGCAAATGTCCTTGAATTGTACGATAGGTAGCATTGAGGTCTGAAAATATCTGACATAACTTTGTTTCAAAACTGAAATTTAAATAATAATATTCTTTAAAATAGAATTTGTTTCAAAACTTCTATCCCATCCCCTCCAACATGTTAAGCAATGAAAATCCCTCCTAGACTTAAAACACTTATGAATTATTAAAAAGAACTGGTTATTTAAACTCCAGAAACATAACTGAATTGCTTTAATTCTTACTCTGAATTTTTCTCCTGTTAATTCCTCAAGTGTCTGAACCATCAGTTCCCCTTATTAGCAAGAAACTTTACATCTAAGATATTCTGCACCATCAAATCCAATTTATTTTATAAAACAGGAAATTTACAAAAGTTAAGTGACTTGTCCAAGGTAAAAAACAGACCCCACAACTCTAAATTTCCTATCAATACCAGTTCTGAAGGAAAAGCTTTCCTGAGACTAATTTATAAAATAAATAGAATTCTAGGGAACTGAGGAAGAATTATATATTAATTACAATATAGCAACATAAATTCCTACCACCCTAGGAAACATTAACAATGAACTACAATAAGTACAATAATCATTGGAGAATACAGATACTATAAATAGTTAACATTGTAGCTATGTCTCTTGTATTGTTTGCCATTATAAGCATTGTTTTTGTTTTACTTATTACATAAGTAGCTAAATATTCAATAGTTACTTTTAACTCCAGCTATTTGTTCTAATGTCAATAATTAAGAAACTAATATGAAATGAATAAAAACTTTCTAAAACACTGATGATTTAGCTTACAGTGGGTTTTTCTATGAATGTAAGCCAACTGGTTAAAAATTTTTACAAACCATTAAAAAATTCAAATTTCCAAATACTCTTTATCTTGGTACCTATTGGGGGATTGATTCATTGATTTTAGGACATCCACACATTTCAAAATGTACACATAAAATTTGCTCAAGTCCCTGATATCAAATAGCAAAATATGTGCATATAAGCTAAGCATATCCTCCCATATATTAATCATCTCTAGATTACTTACAATATCTAATAGAATGTAAATGCTATGTAAATAATTATAATACTACATTGTTTAAAAGAAAATGACAGAGTTAAGTTCTAAACATGCTCAGCACACCATTTTTTCCCAAGTTATTTTCACTCTGTGGTTGGCTGAACCCATAGATGAAAAACCCACAAACACAGAAAACTGATTTTATTGCTTATTATTGGAGAGTATTAAGAAAACAATCCCCTTCTATGAACTCCTTAGCCTTAAAAATTTTATTATAGGAATATCAGATTTATCATTATACTCACAATTTTCTATAATATGAAGCATTGGCAACTTTGGCTGAAGAATTGTATAAAACATCAGAAACCAAATATAATCTGGCAATCTGTAATACCAAAAGATAACACCAAATGAGTTAAAAATAAAATTCAGTAGTCAATAATATATCTATAAAGTTTTGCATTGTCATGTTTTATAATCAGTAGCATAAGGTCAATGCATGGCTATAATTTAGTAATGACTACTACTAATTAGAAGAGTTATACGTGGCATGAAGTTGAACATTACCACACCACAACTTTGGCAGAGATAAAATTAACTCTTCTACATTTCAACTTGTTGATAACTTATAAGTCAATGAACCTAAGTTCCCCAAGCAGAAGTAACATGAAACTATATGGGAAAGATTTAATCAGACAAGTTCTTCATGCAAAAAGAAAACGAAATCAAGTCCAAAAAAGAGTCAGGTATTACCACTCCTTCAGTTAAATGTTCATAAAGAGAAATCATTCCCATACCTTTTTAGGAAGGGGTGTCTTTAAGATGGACAACGATTCAGTAATGCAATCCACTATTTCTTCAGCAGCTTCAGCATTGTTAAGACAAAAAACCATTGCATCTCCAATATCATTTTTCCTTGGAGTTAATCCCCTCAAGATTTCTTCTAATTTATCCCTCTGCCTGAATATAAATTTTTTAAACTTGTATTAGATACAAATTCCAAATGCCATTGTAGCTTTTGCTCACAAACTAATTTCTTTAAAACCTACTCAGATAATTAATTCTAAGGACTGACTGTATTAAGTATGACTTGTGTTAAATTCCTCATATTTGTTACAATTTTTTAAAGAATTTATAGAGGATTCTCCTGGACCTAAGAATTCCACTGATTTTTTTTCAGCTTACAAATAAAGTAAATTTTAAACTGTGAGCATGTTTTCAAGAGTCTTTAAGAGTACCTATTATCCTATTATAACAAATAACAACCTTCATGCGCTTTACTCCCCTTTTCTTTGAAGGAAGTCTACTACTTAAGCACTTCTGCATGGGCTCACAACAGACTAACGTTTTCTGTAAAGCATAAGATTGTAAATATTTTAAGCTTTGTAAGCCATACAATTTCAGTCAATTCCTCTGCTCCCATAGCACCAAAGCAGCCACAGACAACATGAAAGGAATGAGATTGGTTCTGTTCCAATAAAACTTTACCAAAGAAGGCAGCCAAGTTAGCCTATATGCTCAGTGTATGGTTCCTAGGGCTGAAGTCATCGATGACTAGGTACACTGAGAATGAACAGTAATATTTGAAAGTACTTTTTTCTGAGCAGTTCTCAACAGGAGGTTTAAAACATTCATAAACCAGGCTATAAACAGACATACACTGTCTTGCAGGCTTTGAGAGCACAGGTATCATACTTCTTAAGGGCCCTAGGATTTTCAGGATAGTAAGTCACCAGCTACGTTAACCCTATCCAGAGAATCAGCCTGTCCTTTGATGCTTTGAAGCAAGGCATTAACTTATCTTATCTGCCTCTGCAAGTCCTAGATGGCATCTTCCACTAGAAGGCTGTTTCATCCACATTAAATACCTATTCAGTGTACCTATACTTGCCCTGTACTAGTGGTCTGTGAACACTAACTCATGCTACCAAGGTGGCCATTTCACAGCTCACTGCAAACTCTACACAGAGGATTTTGTGCGGTCAACATTTGATCCCACTAACCATACAATTTTTCTTCTTTATGCTGCAGTCAGAGAATTCTAAGGGTCCCCAAATAACTTGTAAAACTCTGAAGTATTCCACTGCTAGAGAAAGAAATCAACCATATTTAAGATATCACTGCTAATTTTATCAGTAGGACACACATTTGTTTTATTGTGTTCTGTTTTGAGACAGAGTCTCACTATGTTGCCCTCAGTAGAGTGCTGTGGCTTCAGAGCTCACAACTACCTCAAACTCTCAGGCTTAAGCAATTCTCTTCCCTCAGCCTTCCAAGTAGCTGGGACTACAGGCGCCTACCACAACACCTGGCTATTTTTTTGTTGCAGTTGTCATTGTTGTTTTAGCTGGCCTAGGACGGGTTCATACTCACCAGCCTCAGTATATGTGGCTGGCACTCTACCTACTAAATACAGGGGTCACCCCAGATATATACTTGTTATTTGCCAAGATGTTTACAAATGTAAAGCTTACGATGAAAGATGTTACTATTTTAAACACTCACAAGTAAAAAAAAAAAAAAAAAAAACACTATATTTTGGGATTAACATCTTAGTAGGATCATTAACTAAAGCAACTTTTCTGAATATATATTAAAAAAAAAAAATCTTACTCTTCCTTAAGTGCTCCCTTTTTACTAGGCTCCTCTACAAAAGCTTCTGTTTCTTGTTCTTCTGACATCCCATGCAGGTATGGATTTAATGGTGGTGGCCTCCAAAAAGATCCATTTTTGAACATACGAAAATCTTCCGTCCGCCACTTAGTTGGAGAATCTCCCTAATAAACATTTAGAAGGTTATTAGAAAGGTCTAATAACTCAGAGTCAAAATTAATTAAGTAATTGATTCTACTTGCCTGCAGAATAGAATAAAGTTTCCACCTATAGTAAACATGGGCTGGTGTCTGGTTTTCAAACAAGAACCTAAACAAATAAACAAACAGAAAACATTAAATATCATATTCTTTGGTAAAGAGCTATCTCCAATTAAATATAAATAAATGAGAAATATTTTCTGACTATTTAGTTCCAAATAAAACTGACAGCAAAGATCCTGGAAGAGAAATCTCACCCACTGCCACCTACTATCTACCCCTTTCTCTGCCCTGTCCTGGACTGCCTTAGTGACTACTGTTAATACTCAGAGCATGCATCTTGCTGAGTGTTAGGATCATTTTTATTTACTGAACACTCATGCCAGATACCATGCCTGGCACTGGAGAGATTTTCCCAGTGCATAATTTAAAAGCAGTGATTTTACACTATTTAAAGGATTTTAAATTAGTGTCTTAGATTCCATGGCAATTTAGAAGATAAGTAATTTCCTTCTATAATTCATTTGACTACAATCTCACTTAGGAAAGATTCATTGCAGTTTTCACTGAATAGCACAATGAAAAGTATTTTCCTCCTAAAGAATGCTAAAAACAATGCTATTTAAATAATCAAAATCTGATAGAAAATTAACCTAAGTATATTCAACTCTATAATGCCTAAAACTGTCTTCTCATCCCATTGTTGAATTAATCCTATACTTTCAGAACTTTATTCTACATAGTATTTATAATTCCCCCCCCCCCAAATTAAAAGTAGTTTCAAAATACACACCTGAAGACAAATAAAATAAATATATACAATGGAATATTACCCTTTGAAATCAGCCAGTCACAAAAGGACAAATATTCGTATGAGCTACCCAGAGTAATCAAGGGGGGCCAGGGCAATGGGGAAAATTACTGTTTAATGGTACAGTTTCAGTTTTGGAAGTTGAAAAAAGTTTCAGAGATGGATGCGGTTGATGGATGCATGACAATGTAAATGTACTTAATGCTACAGAACTGTACAATTAAAATGGTTAAAATGGCAAATTTTCTATGTATTTTAACACAATTTTTAAAAATGTATACCTGAACATAGGATTGTTGATTTCTCTGTTCATAATCATAGCTTCAAACATTGGCCCTTCACGTACAACAAACTCTATCATTCGATGTATCAGGGCGAGCAAATTCCTACAACAACAACACAGTTAAAGAAAATGGATTCAGACCTACCACTATATAAAACTACACTTGACCTAAGCTACTATCATTTGTGCAGAAAAAGATTATTCTGCTAATACCAAATTTAATACCAAAAAAGTAACCTGGAGCATATGTTAACACCTTGTGCATTAAGAGGGAATGGGGTAGTGGGGATAGGGGAGTGGGAAAGAAAGGTGATGGGAGGGTGGGAAACCACAACACAGCCTCATAGTAATAGACTTAATTTTCTAAATGCCATTTAATTTTATTTTCCAAAAGCGAAACATTAAATTATAAATCACAACTAACTGGAAAGCTGTAAATATATAAAATCAGTAACTTAAAGTTTGCATGTCATTACACCCACCTAAAAATTTACACACTATCTCAGTTTTAAAAGAAAATATTCCTAAACCAAGCACTTTTGTCGTGGTACTGAAATATTACAACCACAACTACAATTTATTAAAATGCAAAATTATTTAACAAGTTTAAGACCTGATTTAATAAAAAATCCATCCAACTCCTGTGCTTTTCTGATACACATATATCAGATGGAGTTTTTATTGAATCTGACCTTTATTTAATGAGGCAACATCCCTTTGGACCATACTTCAAACTAGCTCACAATTCATGACACAAACAATTCTACCTCTATATTACCAATCAATGAAGATTGATGTATTATGAAACTCTTAAGTGAATGCAGTCCTACTCTTTTCAAAATATTCTACAATGGGAGACATGGTGGGATGCCCTTCCCACTTTCTATGACAGTTTTCCAACATCTTAGCCAAAAATAAGCATATGTGCATAACTTTTTAAAATAATTGTTTTATTAGCTGGACTCATAGCCTTTATTTTTAGTCTGAAGCTGGGTCTTAAACCATGTAATCCCTTATTAGACTCTAAACACAATTTTAGACATTCATTATAGTGTCAGGCAAAATGGTTCAGCTTATTTACAAGCTGCTTTTGATTTCTCACTTCACCAGTCCCCCAGCATACAGAGTTGACAAACAATTGGGAAAACAAAAGGATATTGGCTCTTGGTACAAGGCATAAACCAAATTACACCTTTAGCATTCCCAGCTCAAATTACGTTCATATAACTGCTGGAATATAAATAAATATATAGTTATAGATTAAAACAGACTTTTTGGGCTCTATAATGCCCTGTTTCAGAGTACATAAACAATAAAATAATCTATCTCATTGTGACTATATTTATTTTCTCACACTTTTCAAACAAAGCTACTTAAGTGGACACTAAAATTTCCACATAGTAAAAAATCAATTTAAGCCTTAAAAAGGTAAAAAAAACTGTATTATAGTTTAACTCTTTACAAAAGGGAAAGTATATATTTAAAACTATTAATTCAATCTCAAATTATTAAAACAAAACCAAAAACATCACTTAATTCTTGAAAATTATTTTTCTGTCACAAAAGCATTACTCTGCAAATATGCAGTCCTTGATATCCAATGAGAATGTATTCTCAGCATCCATATAAACAAAGATATTATTCTGAAGGAAGGGAGGTAACATTAAATTATAACTCAATTCCAAAATTCCCATTACTATGAGCCAAATTAAGGCCAAGGGAAATTTTGTGTCTCATAATATATAAGACTAATTACTAGGTGAACAAATGCTATACATCATAAACTTGTGGGAATTAAGTCAAAGCAACTTGACTTCAGTATTTAAGATATATGAAAAATGGTTTAACAAGTTTATAACCAAAGGATCACTTTGACAGTGAGTTCAGACTTCCCAGCAAAATGTATACTCAAAATTTTGTTTAGAATTAAGCTGAGCCACATGGAAAGCTACTACTAGATCTATGCTTTATAAATGGTACAAAAATACTTCCCTGTTAATGCTTTATTAGTGGAGGAAAAAATACACTATAGTTTTAAACAGGCTTGTAACTGATAAAATCTGTTTTTAGAAAAATTGAAACTTCAAAAGAACTTGTAAAATGTTTCATATGATTATTTAAAATCAAAATCTGACAATTAGTTGTTACTAACTTGACTTCAAGATTATTAAGGAATTGTTATCACACTTTTAAGATAGTGTGTTTAATTTCTTATTTAAAAAATGGTGATTCTTCTATCAAAACAAAGCAGTGTAGTACAAAAAGAAGATATACTTAAAGTGCATTACTTTATTTTAAAATGGTAATTATCTTATTCTGGGCAACAACAACCAAAAAAAAAAAAAAAGTCTCTCAGTTATAATAAAACCACATTTATTGGAGTCGATCGTACCAATGTCTGGTCAAAAACTGTATACTTTCCCAATCCATCCCATGATGTTTTCCTGGTCCCCCGCTGCCGCAGACAGTTCAGCTGGTGTTGCTCACCAAGGCCAATGTCAAAGAGAATTTGGTATTCTTTTGTGTTCATTTATTATTCAACCAGTGTTGTGTTCCTGTGTTTGGGAAAAGGCTTAGCTTGACTGAGCAAGAGCACACCTAGGGCATGAATTCTTCTGTTTTAACAGTATGTTGAAAAAGAAAAAAAGAAAAAAGAAAAAAAAAAAACAAAGAAAGAAAAATAAAAAGAATTCCAAATACCTTTGTTATTATGAAAATAAGTGTCCAGTATGTCCAGTGTTCATGAAAATAATAGGAATTTCTTCTTAAAATCAATTGGAAAAAAACAAGCTACGCCTTCAGTAAGGAGAACTCAAACCAAGGTTATACAGTAAATATACAAAATACAGGAAACAAGAAAATAACGACAGACTGGGTCAAACTGCAACATTCTCTAAAATTTAAGATACATTTTAAGACAACTATTTTCCCGTGACAATAGTCTAAATAAACAGCTCCAAATTAAAGCTAATATACATATTCTAACTACTCAAGTTACAAAAATTCCCTTCATTGATAACAAGGAAAATAAAAATGATTATGGCACAAAATTGCAAAGTACACTAATGTTAGTTAAATTTCACATATCCCCCCAAAAAGTACTGGGAAGGAACCATTGCTCAGTCAAGATACTACCTTTTCCTCAACACCATTTTTTTTAAATTCAGAAGGGGATATTGTCTATATTTAGATCAGTAATAATAAAGAAAAACATGTACCTTTCTGTTGGGATAACCACTTTGACTATGGCTTGCGACAGAGTCTGTATATGAAGTCACATCAGATAATAAACATAGAATATGTGAGTATTGTTAACAAGTAACAAGCAAAAATATACATATGCATTGAAAACACTACACATCTAATCACAAGTTTTGCAGGCAATCACTGCATTTGAAGTAATTATACACTTAGCAATTACATAAATGCAAATGGATGTGTTCAGTGAACAGTAAATGTTCACTAAATGCAAAGAATCAGAACATTCCTGCCAGAATGCACATCAATGCACTGATAAAGGTACTACACTGAGAATTATCAGATAAAGATTTTAATTTGTGAAATAATTAACTGTTTGCCTCTGACCATACAGTTTGCTACTTTGTTCCCAAGCCTTTAAAACCAGCCCTGTCATTGTAAGTGTAATTAATCATAATAGAACCAACAAATTTTTGTAACTTGAAATTAAGTTGGTTTTATGTTTAATAAAAAGAAAATACTCACCCTTTGCTTTTACTAGATTAGTTAACCATTTTTTAAAAAACCATATATTCTCTCAAATATTCTAATACCTCAGACCATGAGAACTAAATTAACTAGCTGCCATCCAAACAATTTTAACTGTTTAGGAGCTCTTTCTAACTGAAATGTCACTTAACCAAATACAAAGTATCACTTTCTCAGAACAAAGTAAATCTAGATACTGCACTTAAGCAAACCTGGATACAACAATGGACAAAGGAAGAAAGAAAAACTTAACAAGTGGTCAAAAAAGGAATGGTAGCCACAAATAAAATATGACCTAGTATTTCAATACAGGGTCTTCCATAGGCTAAGGCAGGGAACACATCTACTTATTTCTTTAAGAGTTGTCAAACAGAATTACACACACATTTTCTACAAAATTTTTGAAAAGAAATACTACCACAGATTCAGTATTTACAAATTAGATGCGGCCCTATGTACATTTTTTAAATTACCTTCTCAAAATCCTCCTTGTTTTTAGGTGGTGGTAACATGGGAGCATTGGGGTTTTTTAAGCGCTCTCTAGGCTGCGCATTAAAAGGCAGTCCGGATGGAGGTGGGGGAAGCGTATGTTCCATCATAGAAGGCGGAATGTATATTGGATGCGGAGGAATAGGTACAGCTTTACCCCAACCTAACTTCATTTCAAAAGACATAATCATTTTTCCTGCAAGAAAGAAAAGAAAGGTCACTTTGGTAACTTTAGAAAGAAAATATTTCTGGTGATTTGAATTAACTTCCACTTTTAATCTTTCCATTTTAGGTCCATTTCCTTCTTAGAATTTTTACAAATACTTTGTTGAACCAAAAAAATGTCTGAATTCTAGAAAAGGATAATAAAAACTTTCTTACCATTTAAATTTTTTAAAGCTCTTTCAGCATCTCTTCTATTCATAAAGGCCACAAAGCCACAATTTCTCTCTCTTGCTCTCTCTTCATCAGTTCTAGGCCACATAATTTTCACACTGGCTAATGGTCCAAATCTTCCAAATTCTTGGCACAGCATTTCTTCATTCATCTATTAAAAGGCATAAGAGTTTTTAAGTATGCAACAAAAAGGAGAAGAAAGTAATTCTGTGAATCAGAACACAAAGTTTTTCCAAAATGAAAAGCAATTTATTAATGTTAAAATTTTCCATTCATGTACTAGGAATTCTCCATAGGTAAAATCCTACCCTCATGGGATAGTCATAAGTCTTTTCATGCCAGAAACATTGTGTTTTACTTAAATAAGATGCCAGGCTGTGGCGCTTAGGGAAATCAAAACTTTTATTTCCCCTCTTTCTGTTTTAAGGTTCTAGGATCTAACTAAGCTGTTCTACAGCAACACTGTTTGGGCATTTACAGCATTTTTCAGGCAAGACTACTTAGCACATCTAGGTTAAGGAGGAAATAATTATTGCCCATAAAAGAAAAAAAGGATCTAATCATCTTTTCTCTTTCCAACTACCAATGTAATTAAGAGCAGAGAAAACAGAAAACAGTAAATATGAAGGCCCCAAATATATATAATTTTAAAGGATATATTATGTATAACAACTGCTATATCCCGGTAACATAATTCACTTTACTGAATCAGGAAGAGAATTAAAATATAAAAGACAAAAGCACAAATACTAGTTTGCTATTATGAGGACAAAAAAGAAAAAGGGACTCCATAAGGAAAACAACTTATCATTAGAAGTAGGCAGTCTCAAAATTATCATCCACCACTGATAATACCAATTTGATAAATAATAAAAACAGCACCTAGCAAAACATTTCAAATTCAGAGTACAGTCCAAATGCTGAAAGAGGAGAAAAGCTCTTAATAATCTGTAACAAGATTAATTTGGGCCATACAAGTCTCAAGTTTACAGGATAATCTTAGAGACTAATTCCACCAAGTTTGCCAACTGTAGAATCTTGATGATTTTTTTATTCTTCTAAAAGTATAAAGCACATGAGTCAATGTTCATCTTACTTTACCAGCATTACCTGTGGGTTAATGTTCCCAAGGTACAAATTAGTAGTGCTTGGGTCTCCTACATCATGTGAGCCAGGAGCATAATCATCAAGAACTAGGACAGAAAGAACAAAAAAATTATAACCTGCAAAATACAAAGTTTGGACAATTTCTTGTTGGCTAAAAGAGCAAAAAACTGTATTACCACCAGACGATCTATTTCTTCTTGAAGGCGCGTCCACTAAAGGGAGTTTAAAAAAAAAAAAAGAAAAGAAAAGAAAAACACTTTTAGCTTTTAGAAAACAGTAGCCCCCCTTTTATCCACAGCTCTGCTTTCCACAATTTCTGTTGCCTGTGGTACAGTGCAGTAAAATATTTTGAGAAAAACCACAATTACACATCTTTTATTAAAGTATATTGTTATAAGTGCTTTACACCTATTCTTTATCTCTTACTGTGCCTAATTTATAAATTAAACTTTGACGTAGGAATGTACTTGTAGGTATACATGTATAGGGAAAAACACAGTATATATATAGTTTTCAGTACTATCCAATTTCAGGCATCCACTCAGAGTCTCAGAACATATACCCCAAGGGTACAGAGTGATTGATGTAATGAATCACAAATAAATACATTAAAATAAATGTCACTTACTAGAACGACGCTGACCATCAGAATCTGACTGAGGAGGCTCAAATCGACTTAACCTGCCTTTTGTTTTATGCCTCTCATCTCGCTCTTCTTGAATTCTGTTGAAAATATTTACAATCACTAAAAATGAGCCAAGATGTGTTTGTTCACATTTAGTATGATTAGAACTTATCAAGGTACTATCTTCAAATGATAGGAAGTATCTATAATTAAACACCAGTGCTGATAGCCAAGATTAGAGTATCCCTCAGCTATAACAGAACCATGAACAAATTTCTAATAGTATCATACTAGCAATGGTAAGCAAGAAGGTGAGGAGGAAATTCAACACTAAAACCACTGAATTTGTCATTTCTTGCTAATGTCGACTGCCCCTCACTGTTTCCACTGCAAACAGGACTCTGGACATTAGATAGCGCAATTTAAGCAAATCTACATAGTACAAACAACCCAGATACTGGACTAAATGCTAATTTAATTTCAAATATGTCACCTAAAACATAAGTATAATATCTAAAACAACCTCATGGCAAGCTGGTCAATAATAACTAATTAGTACACTACATTCTTCATACCTGTGTCCTTATGTACCACCTCAATATCCCTACGATAGTTATTCTCCAGACTATAAAACTTACTGTTTTAATTCTTCTTTGAAGAGTTCCAAATTGCTTTTTTTCTTTTCTTTCTCCCCTTTCTTCAGTGGCTATGAAGGATATGACAAGTTATACTTCAAACAGAAGAAGTTCAGGTAAAACTAGTGATTCGACAATATTATTTTCATTTCAGTGCCAATTATATGTTCTAATTATTTAAACTGAAAAGGAACACTACTATTATCACTGAAATTCTAGTCCTCTTCTGCTAAAATAACAAACTATTAAAACTATTAAATAATTAAGATGATAACCAGTAGTCTTTAAGTAAAAGAGGCAGAAACATTATCCCCAAAGCCTATAAAAGTTAAACCTGGTCTGGGAACAGTGACTTATGCCTGTAATCCTAGCACTCCGGGAGGCCAATGTGGGTGCACTGCCTGAGCTCAGGAGTTCAAGACCAGCCTGAGCAAAAGCGAAACTCTGTCTCTAAAAATAGATGGGCGTTGTGGCAGGCACCTATACTCTCAGCTACTCAGGAAGGTCAGGCAAGAGAATCACTTGAGCCCAAGAGTTTAAAGTTCCTGTGAGCTATGCCACCATAGCACTCTACCAAGAGCAACAAAGTGAGACTTTATCTCAAAAAAAAAAAACTTAAGCCTGAATATTGAGGGGAAAAATAAATGAACATAAAATAACTAAATTGCCATGTAGAGAAACTGTCACCAAGAACCACCAAAAATACACACTTTTCAAAGCAACCACCTTTGGAGAATATAAATTACTGAAACAATGAGTAACATCTTTGGAATCTCTTTTAAAAACTGCTTCTGGAAAGAGGCATAAACATTAACTTTTTTTAAAAGTATCAACATAATTAAAAATTGTTTTGTTAAAAACATATACTACACAGGCTAATAATTTAAATAATCTCAGTTTGGAATTTTTAAAAAAGACAACCCCACTGGTTTACATTTACACCTACAATATAGCCAATTTTTGACTTGCAATACATAATGAGTATAACAGCAAATGTTCATTGCTTAAAAAGCACAAGAGTATTATCTACATGTCCCACTGCAATTTAATCTCTCTCATCTAAGCAGATTACTGAGTTTAGAAAGTATCAAAACTCTACCCCCTAAAAAATGAAAAATAAAAAACCAAAGTCCTGCTTACAGTGGAAGTACTAAAAAGGACCGTCAGCAGTGTCACCTCCGGACAAAAATGTTCAACTATCTAAGTATAACTTACAGGTTTTTTGGTTTCTATCACAAGAAGAGACGGTGGTCTTTCATTGGAAGACTGATTTGGAGGATTTTTTTGATCTGCAAATCTTGAAGATGGCTTATAGATTTTACCTCGCTTTTCATCTGTTTCATGCTCTTCTGAAATTTAAAATACTAAGTTTTAAAGCTAATTTCACATTTAATTTTCTTTACTCATTATTTTTATTAAAAAATAAGTAAAATGCTTTCAGTATAAAGATTAGATTAAAACATTACCACCTTATCCTCAATAATACTAATTTAATCATTTTGCAGTAAAACTATAAAACAAATTAAAATTTTTGCAAAGTGCTCTGCTGTCTTTAAACGTCAAAGAGAACAAAATGTTTAAAAGTTAGCCAGCTTCAGGCTCGGCACCCATAGCACAGTGGTTACAGTGCCAACCACATATACTGAGGCTGGCAGGTTGGAATCTGGCCCAGGTCAGCTAAAATGATAACTGCAAAAAAGAAAAAAATAGTAATAGCCGGGCTTTGGGGCAGGCGCCTGTAGTCCCAGCTACTTGGGAGGCTGAGGCAAGAGAATCACATAAGCCCAAGAGTTGGAGGTTGCTGTGAGCTGTGACACCACAGCACTCTACCGAGGGTGACAAAGTGAGACTCTATCTCAAAAAAAAAAAAAAAAGTTAGCCAGCTTCAATAGCATCAATCCACACTCATTTATTTTGCTAATTAATATGACCACTAGAGGGTGCTAATTAAAAGAAAATGTAAAATTCAAAGCCTCTTTCCATAATTATCTACCTGCAGTCATTCCATCAAGACCAGGTTTGCTCAAGGACTATAATATTCACACTTACCTTTAGCTGCATTAACAACACCTCCTCGCACAAACGTTTTAACTTTATTACCATCACTTCCTTCAAAAGCAGCAAGAAATTCCTCATAAATTTCGGCAGCTGCCTTTTCATCCTCCTAAATACACACAAAAATATGTCACATAATATAAAAACTATTAATATATACAAAGTTAGGCAGCACCTGTAGCTCAGCAGCTAGTGCTCCGGCCACATACACTGGGGCTAGCAGGTTTGAACCCAGCTGTGCCCTGCCAAACAATGACAACTACAAAAATAAATAAATAAAAATAGCCAAGCATTGTGGTAGGCACCTATAGTCCCAGCTACTCATGAGACTGAGGCAGGAAGATCTCTTAAGCTCAGAAGTTAGAGGTTAAGTGGTCTATGATAACCAGCCATACGCTAGCCTGAGTGACAAAGATTCTGTCTCAGAAACACATGCACGCACACACGCGTTATATCCCAAAGATATACTAGCAAAAATCCAAAACCCTATCTATAACACTATCTATAACAGCATCAGTTGTAATGGCAAAAGACCTCAAAAGGATTTTAGTTGAATAAAATACTGCATTATCTACAGCCATTTAAAAAAGGAATGCTTCTATATATATTTGAAGTAATCTCCAAGATATAGTGTTATGTTAAAAAAGGGAGAAAAATTAAGCATTATTAGATGAATGACAGCATGCTATATAGTATATGGGTACAACACATGTACATACACACACGCTTACACAAAAACAAAAGACCAGAAAATAACAAAAGTAGAAGAATGGAAACAGGATAGAAGCTAGATTCCTTGGAATATACCTTGTGTTATATAGATGTGACCTGTGTATAAAGTGAGAAATACTCTAGAGGTCAAAAATCATTGAAGAACATTTCCCTACTGCCTATACACTTATTGCCCCTTAGACACATTCATTTTCAAGGACAATTCAAAATACATTTTAAATATTACCTTTTTCTTTAATTCTTCTTGTTCCTTTTTACTTAAAGTTCGTTTAGCTGTACTCATTTTTCCAATACTGAATGCTTTAAGTTTGTTTTCTAGAAGAGGCTATGAAAATAAATAAAAAGCACACTTTTATGTACACCTTTTTAAAGTTATCTACAGATTTTTTAAAAAGTCTTCAGAAGGATTACTATTTTTTAAAATTTCATTGTAAAGAAAAGCTGGGGCTACTCTACACATTAGGTGCCTACTTTGGGCTTGACTCTCACCTAAGTATTCATTAAAAAATGTCTTTATTTGCTAGTTCAAGGTCAAAAACATACAAAAGCCCTTTTTACCAAAAAAAAAAAAAAAAGATAAATCTAGAACAGAGAGACACAGACACTGGGGCTGAAGCAAAAACAAAAAAAAAAGAGCACTTTCATGTTTTAGGCAAAAGTTGCAATGACAAAAACAGATCCTCAAACAGGAAGAGGGAGGCACACATTTCTATGGTCCAGCGGCAGGAATTTGTCATCTATAACCCTCATTGCAAGTGAACTATCCATCTCATAATTGCCTTTCATAATTTAGTGAATTATCTCATTGTTCATCAATGATACTGATATTTGTGAACATAATTTTATTTCCTTTTCTGGGAATGTATCACCTACAGTCTTTTTGGCTAGAGCTCAAATTAAACTATATAAATTGATTTTTAAATTTAAGTAATAGTATTTTAACAAAGACTTCATTTATATAACGACTTAAAAGTAATTTCATTCTGAAATATGGCCTGAATAAGTTCTATGTAAACCTTTAGTTGTTCTATCATTCTGAAATATGGCCTAAGTTATATTTAGACCTTTAGTTGTTCTATCAGCTACTCATTTGATTCACAAATGTAAGAGGTAGGTTTATTAAATATAACCTAAAATACTGAGATCTGAAGGTTTCTTCAGATGAGAAGGTAACCAATTACAAAATTAGACTTTATCAATTCCCCAGCTTACCCTTCAAAGGTACAAAATGTAGAAGCATAGCTGCAAACTACGTTAAGGTTATATTAAAATCCCTCTGAGGGAAATAAAGCATTTATAACCCAAAAGTCAATACCAGGTTTCAAAAATACATTCAAAATAATTTTTTCCCCTCAAAATAGAAAGAAAAATGTTTCTCCATCATTTAGTATCTTCAGTTTCAAATTCAGAAGTTTGAAGGAATGGTAAAATTACACAAAAATTCAATAAAAAACAAGACAAAATCTCTATGTTCAAATTTATTTATACCCTAAGAACTAAATTTAGAAACCCAAGAGAGAAACGATTAAGGAAATTATGAAGGATTTACTCAACAGAATACAATGAATCATCTATTTAAAAACGTACTTATAGAATTTTCTCTGAAATGAAAAGAATAACAGAACTGAAAACTCGATATTTTAAAATGTGTTCCTGTAAAAGGGATTTGAGCCAAGTAAAAATACATTAAATATATTTTTGTTCAGAAATGTTAAGCAGGAAAAATAATGGGTTATCAATGGTGAATAACAGTTGGTAATGGCTGGATTATATTTTCCAAATATAATCACACACAAAAAAATTTATTTGACATTAAAAAAAAAAAAGAAAAAAAGACTAAAAATGCCAAAAAGCATTTTGCAAATCCAGAAGTAAAGAATCTCTTTCTCTTGTATCCCTGTATTGCCCTGGGTACTGCACTTAGCAAAGTGAATAGTACCTGCTCCTGTGGGCTTCCCAGGGTTAGACTTTAAGCTCTGAGAAGAACAACTGTTCTAAGTGTCTGTGTATTCCAGTGTCTGGTATTTGGCATTTGATTCAGTAAAATATTTGATATTAAGGAGGGAAAGATAAATCTGATTGTTAATCATTTTACATCCAAGTATGTTCCCTTGTTTTTTTTTAATAAAAGTAAAAACTTTTAATAAAACATATCTCACACATGAGCTAAAAAACATTTCCCTCCATGAACTTGAGCTTACCATTACCCCAAATATAAAAAGAATGCTATTTTCAAATAGAACAAGATGAAACAAGTATAAAACCAAGATATTCAATCATCAAATTCCCTCAAGGACAGATAAAAATCATTAACTATTCTTTCCTATCTTTACTCACTCTTGAGAGATTCTGATGAGGAGAATCACAAAGGCTTTCACGGGCACTTTCATTCCTATGTTTTCTTGGGCTCTTAGGACGTGTCCGACTTGGCATATCACTATCTGAGGGTCCAGATGCATCCATCTTCAAGAAAAGTAAAACACATATAGTACTATAACTACAAATAACAAAGCCAAATAATGACAATTTATTACACACTATTGAAAATCACACCCCTTAGGCAGGGCACAGCGGCTTGCGCCTATAACCCTAGCATTCCGGGAGGCAGAGGAGAATGGATCACTTGAGTGCACTCAAGACCAGCCTGAGTCAGAATGAAACTTTGTATTGAAAACTAACCAGGTGCTGTGGCAGGTGCCTATAGCCCCCAGCTACTTGGAAGGCTGAGGCAAAGAGAATCACTGAGCCCTGGAGTTTGAGGTTGCTGTGAGCTACAATGCCATGGCACTCTACCAAGGGTGACAAAGTAAAGATTGTCTCATAAAGAAAAAAAAAGAAAGAAAGAAAATCACACCCCTTTGGCTCGGTGCCTGTGGCTCAAGCAGCTAAGGCACCAGACACATACACCTGAGCTGGTGAGTTCTAATCCAGCCCGGGCCCACCAAACAATGACAGCTGCAACCAAGAAAATCACACCACATAGTATCACCTCTGATTTTGAGAAAAGTCCTTAAGACTAGGAAAATTTTTAATATTCTAACTTGCACTTAAAAGTTTTAATTTTATACTTATGCCAATTGTTTTTCATGAAGTAACAGAATTCCTTCCTTTTCAAAAAAAAAAGACTGCCAGGCTTAGCACCTGTAGCTCAGTGGCTAGGGCACCAGCCATGTACACCAGAGCTGGCAGGTTAGAATCCAGCCCAGCCCTGACAAACAACAATGACAACTGCAAAAACAACAAAAAAAAGGAAACAGCCAGGCGTTGTGGCAGGCACCTGTAGTCCCAGCTACTTGGGAGGTTGAGGCAAGAGAATCGCTTAAGCCCAGGAGTTTGAGGTTGTTTTGAGCTGTAACACCACAGCACTCTACCCAGGGAGATAGCTTGAGACTCTGTCTCAAAAATAAATAAATAAATATCTGCCAAATACTCAAGTCTGACTGTATTTGTCTGTCATTCCCAACTAAAAATGGTTTTCCCTTTAAAAAAAAAAAAAAAAGCAACTAATTTCAGTTCTCAAACTTAAACAACTGCACAAGTACTTTTTCTCAGACAAAGCTCACATTTTGGTAAGCTTAAGAACCTTGTATATACTACTTGCTTCATCATATAGAATATTAAAAAGCATGTACAAAAGGTCAAAGACCTAATAAACAGATGTTCTACTGCTTTTACTCAGAACATTCTTAACTGAAACTAGGGTATTTTTACTGCACCTGGTGGAGATGAAAACAATGACTACCATACATTTTGGAGTCACTACCTTGATGAGTGCTAAACCTTTTACCCACCAAGTGATTTTGCACTTCCAGATACATTTACATTGTTGCAAATGTCAAAACAGTGAAAAAGGCAATAAAGCCTTAGTACTATTACAAAATATATTTGAATTTACAGGCCTTCTGAAAGACTCAGTAATCCCCAAGGGTTTGCAGACCACACTTTGAACACTGCTATAACATATGTAAAGGAATATTTATTGTAGTATTATTCATAATTTTATTCAAAAGCTTTAAACAAAAAGTATATATCCATTAGCAGATAAACAGCTTAATAAAGAATTGTACTTTCCCACTGTGAACATTATGATGCTTTTAGAAAGAACAGATTAGGGCTATGCCAGTTGACCTGCAGGGATTTCTAACAGGTGTTCCGTACAGTGAGAAAAGAGTATGTACAATGCAATCTCACAGTCACTATATAAGTACATACAGAATTTTGTAAACACAATCAAAAAAAAAAAATCGAATTATACACACTAGGTATCTAACATGGTTTGAGAGGGCTAACTTATGCAAGCACAAAAAATGAGGGCACCTAGCCAAAAGAGTCAAAGAAAAAAGGTATATACAATCTAATTATGTTGAGGCTGGGCTCAGTGGCTCATGCCTATAATCCTAGCACTCTGAGAGGCTGAGGTGGGTGGATTACCAGAGTTCATGAGTTCAAGACAAGCCTGAACCACAAGGAGACCTCACCTCTAAAACCAGCTGAGTGGGGACTTTACCTAACAAATGCATCAGTGTAACCTGGTTTCTTGTACCCTAAAGGAATCCCCAATGATTAAAAAAAAAAAAAGGTATTCAAACACACACACAAAAAAATTAAAATAGCTGAGTGTTGTGGCAGGTACCTATAGTCCCAGCTACTCAGGAGGCTGAAGCAAGAGAATCGCTTGAGCCCAAGAATCTGAGGTTGCTGTGAGCTGTGACGCCAAAGCACTCTACTGAGGGCGACAAAATAAGACTCTGTCTCGAAAAAAAATAAAAAAAAAAACCAACGTAATTTATTTATTTATCAAGTAAAATCACAGGTTCAGGACACATACAAAGAGAAATTAAAATTTAAAGAAAAAAACAAAGATTGCCTTTTAGACTTACATGTGCATCTGAAGAGCCAGATGAATGAACATCTGATGATCTCGCCTGCAAGTATAAAAAAAAAGTCAGTATTTTAAGGATTTAAAAACATCTTATTATACAAAACCATATATCTATTCTTTCCTAATTTTTCTACTCAGCTAATAAAACTAATAAGGGCAATCTCTGACTTAAGAAAATACTATGATACAAAGTATATACATTTTTCCAAGCCAAACACCCATGGACTTATAACCTGTAATTTTTTTTTCCTTTTTTTTTTTTTTGTCAAGACAGAGTTCTACCCTATCCCCTCAGCAGAGTGCAATGGCGTCATAGCTCACTGCAACCTCAGACTCAGCATGTTGCTGCCTCAGCCTCCAAAGCTGCTGGGATTATAGGTGCTCGCCCTGGCGCCCAGCTGGGTTTTTCAATTTTTTCTTTTTTTTCTTTTTTTTTTTTTTGGTAGAGACAGAGTTTCACTTTATTGCCCATGGTAGAGTACTGTGGCATCACGCAGCTCACAGCAACCTCCAACTCCTGGGCTTAGACGATTTCCTTGCCTCAGCCTCCCAAGTAGCTGGGACTATAGGCAGCCACCACAACGCCTAGCTATTTTTTTTGTTGCAGTTTGGCCGGGGCCAGGTTTGAACCCACCACCCTTGGTATATAGGGCCAGTGCCCTGCCCACTGAGCCATGGGCTCCACCCGGTTTTTCAATTTTTTTTCATGAGTCAAAGGTCTCACTTTCGCTCAGACAAGCCTCAAACTCCTAAACTCAAGTAATCCTCCCACTTCAGCCTCTCAAAGTGCTGGGATTACAGGCCTGAGCCACTGCACCGGGCTATACATGTAATTCTAACCCAAGGCAGAAGGATCCCTTGAGGTCAAGAAGAATTCCAGAACAGAATGTACTTTTCCAAAAATATGATATAAATGCTAATGGAATATGCCTGAGACACAGTTACCTTTTTATAGTATAGACTGGAAACCTAACCACCATTTTTAGAACAGAATGTTTGTGCAAAAGCTCTTCCCAAACAGATACATTGCTTACTGACACAATACACAAAGAAATCTCCCCTTCTGTCTCCAACTACCTAAAGCCACATAAAGAAATTTACATATAAACCTTTGATGTCTATTAAAAGGCACAATTTTACTGCAGAAAGAACTCAAGAAAATAAAAACCACTATTATCAAATCCCCACAGGCCACCATTTACAACTTGTTTTAAAAAGACTGCATCTACTTCAGCACGCCACAGGCTGACTGTTGGCACTAGAATGAGTTCAGTCTTCAAGTAATGGTTTGTCCCAACAATATCAACTGCTAAAATTCCATCTTATTTTTTAATTGATCTGTATTTCAGATTATACATGGTATGCAATATTTGTTTCATCACTATGCATCCAGTATTAATATACAACTTGTTTTTTCAATATACGTCCAGGAACAAAGACAACAAGCTTCAAAACTATTAAATAATAGCATTGGGTAATTAAATTGTACTTATTTTTATTTAAGTATTAAAAGTGAAATCAAGGATTACAAACTTCTCACCTGACTCTAATTCCCAGGTCAGATTTTCAAATAAGCATAAGTACTGTATTAACTGAAGAGAAAATTAAGAATTGTATGTTATAGAAAAAAGCAAATAAAAGAAAAACAACATGGAAACATGGATCTATATAATACTGCTTTATTCACCTTGTCCAAATAGAGGACTAACAACTGTTAGTCAGATTTTTATACTAAAATCAATAACTCCTCCAAATTCCACATACTGAGCCTTAGTCTAGGCAAAAACCAGTAAGACAACCAGGCAGTGAGATAGCTCCCATCTCATTCTTTTTTCTGTCCCCAGTTTTGTTTTGTTTTTTTTTTTTTAGAGACAAAGTCTCACTTTGTTGCCCTTGGTAGAGTGCTGTAACATCACAGCTCACAGCAACCTCCAAATCCTGGGCTTAGGCGATTCTCTTGCCTCAGCCTCCCAAATAGCTGGGATTACAGGCACCCATCACAATGCCTGGCTATTTCTGTCCCCAGTTTTTATTGTGTCCCTTCATTCAAGTTCTTCTCCTAGCTAATCTTTTTTTTTTTTTTTTGAGACAGAGTTTCATTCTGTTGCACTGGGGAGGGTGCCATGGCTCATACCTCACAGCAACCTCAAATTCCTAAGTTTGAGCTATCCTCCTGTCTCAGCTTCCCAATCAGCTGGGACTACAGGCACCTGCCACAAAGCCTCACTCATTTTTTCTATTTTTAGTAGAGACAGGGTCTCTCTGGCTCAGGTTGGTCTCTAACTCCTGAGCTTAAGCAATCCACCTGCCTCAGCCTCCCAGAGTGCTAGGATTACAGGCATGAGCCACCACACCCAGCCACTCCTACCTAATCTTTTTTTAAAGATCAAGATGGTATGGAAGAAAAATTTTTCTGGAGGCAGAATCTCAAGCTGTTGCCCTGGGTAGAGTGACGAGGCGTCATCATAGCTCATGGCAATCTCCAACTCTTGGGCTTAAGTGATCCTCTTGCCTTAGTTTTTCTATTTTTATTTTTTCTTTTCTTTTTTTGAGACAGAGTCTCACTTTGTTGCCCTTGGTAGAGGGCTGTGACATCACAGCTCACAGCAACCTCCAGCTCTTAGACTTAAGCAATTCTCTTGACTCAGCCTCCGGAGTAGCTGGGACTACAGGCGCCTGCCACAAAGCCTGGCTATTTTGTTGTTGTTGTTGCATTTTGGCTGGGGCAGGGTTCAAACCCGCCACCCTCAGTATATGGGGCCAGTACCCTTTGCTGAGCCACAGGCACCACCCAGTTTTTCTATTTTTAGTAGAAAGAGGATCCCACTCTTGGTCAGGCTTGTCTTGAGTTGAACTCATGAGCTCAAACATCCACGCACCTTGGCCTCCTAGAGTGCTAGGATTATAGGCATTAGCCACCGAGCCCAGCCTAAGAAATTTTTTATATTTAAACACACTTTGAAATATACACCTTGAAATGAATCCATTTACAGATATTTAGAAATTAGAAAATCCAAGAGAATGACAATTATTACAAAATAACAAGTTTGGTCAAGTGACTGAACTAAAAACCGAATCAACTGTCTTCCATTATACCAGTATTAACCTTTTAGACAACAAAAATTAACATCTTAATCATAACAGCAACAAAAAATATAAAACACCTGAAAACCAATATAAGGAATATATGCCATCTCTGTGAATAAAACACAAACTTTAGCAAGGATTAAGTTATTTAAGTCACATTTTGAAAAGATACGTCATATTAATGGATGAAAAAATAACATTAAAGTAATGTCAATGAAACATTGTTTAATATTTAAGACAATTTCATTCAACAACTCAAAGGGAAATCTTTGCAAAGTGCTAAGGGAATTGCTAAAATAATTCTAAAGTTCACCAAGATGAATAAGCATATAAGAGAGTGGCTAAGAAAGCCCTTCTTTAATCTTCTACACCACCATATCCAAATCATCTCTTCTAGGATACAAAAAGAAAAATTACAAAAACCAAGGCACTTTTCCTATTTCCACAGTTATATCTTTCTTGACTCTTAAATCATTTAAAAGACGAATCTCTATAACATTAAACAATCTCACTTGCACAATTTTTCACCAAATTAGTAAATAATCTCTAAAACAAAAGCAAACAATTCAAAAGTAGCACTTTCTCAGCTTTCCAAATAATACAATTTGATGAATTTGCAAACAGAGCAATAACAGCATGGCTTAGGAAGACGTACTGGCTGATTTTAATTAAACCTAAAATGTCACTAATCATACTTAACTGCAAACCAGACATTTTCCAGAGATATACAGCTATACCTACACAGCATTCAAAATGGAGCTTTTTTAGGCTTAAGAACAGTTGGAGAGATGTAGATAGCAGTTAATAAGATTTTTAAAAGACTAACCAACTTCTAAACCTAAAGGTCAAGATAAACTGTAAAGATAACGCTACTTCAGAAGCTAAGCCTTCTCCTCTTAACCAGAACTGAACTACAGTATTTGTCTTGGGTTTGGGCTTTTTTTACTTTAACTGAAGAACACTTTAAACTAATAATGATGGTTAAAGATCTTAAGTCTACAGCACAACTCCTCATCCAAATGAAAAGATTCAAAAGCAAGAAATGAAAGGGGAAGTTTGTGGCAATAAAGCAACATACACAGGAGAGAAATTTTTATCTTAGACCAGAGAAAGCAGGTATTACAGATGTATGGCAGGACAGCAAGAAAATCCAAAAGGATCATTCTGATAGCTGCTAAGGAGATCAAGATGAAGTCAACTACACTACATGTTATGATCCTATATCTTGCTGGCTCAGAACAAAACTAATTTTTTTCCGGCTGCTCCTATTTTACTTCAAATGAAAGCCCCACACATTAGTTTCCAAATTAGCAAGCTATCCAGAGCAACATTCCTCCAACACCGTTCTGCCTAGAGAGCTCTCCATTCCCATATCTGTCTCCTAAATGTCTTCTCCTCTCACCCTCTAAAAGGATCAGCTTTCATCTCCATAATCTCTCCCATAGGAAGCATTTCCAGTTATTAACCTATATTCTTGGTTGTCTCCTGGGTTTCAATCCCTTCCCAAACTGCCTCCTGGACATTTTCACCTGAATGTAAGCTCCTCAAATCCAACACATCTAGAATTTCTCCCACACTAGCTTCTCCTCTTGCCCTTATTTCTGACACTGGATCATAACTCTCAAACATTCATAATCTAGAAGGAGTAAACACATTAAGCACACAAGTTCTGGAATCAGACTTCCTGTTTTAGCACTCACCAGATTTGTAATCTTGAGCCTACTTTCATTAACTGTAAAGCTGAATAGCACCTGCCTCATAGGACTGTTGTGAAGGGCAACTAACTATACATGAAGCACTTAGAACAGTGGTTGGTACTTAGTAACTGCTCAGTGTTAGCCAGCAACAGCATTATAATAGGGTCATCCTGGACTCCCACCTTATCCACCATAATCAACCCAGTCAAATCCTATTCATCTTATCTCTAACAGATATTCCATGAGGACACTTCTTTTC